ACACACACACACACACACACACACACACACACACACACACAGAGTAGGTGGAATTAAAACAATTTATGACCAACTACTGTTTTAAAAAACTGCTCAGGCTTTTGTATAACAGTTTCCAGATGTTTCTCCCCACAGTCATGTGTAAAACAAAACACCTTCCCATAAAACATTTATCTGCATTACGTACTCTTAAGGGGTATGAAAATGCCAAAAGTCTACCCTTGTAATTTGTCATAATTTCAAAGGGCATGACTTTTGTACATTTAAAGCCAAGGACTTGAAGTATTATGTCATATATTTTATGGATGCACACTGTGGTCGGTATTTAAAGCTACAGGAAATAGTTTATTTAGTACAGTCTGCTAAACTTCTCCTACTGTGGCGATCTTTATGTCGAGAACTCCTCAAATAATCTAAAAATCATTACAAAAGTGTAGTCAGTGACCAGATATGGAAGGTTTTACCCCTTTAATATTTCAAACTGTGCCCTGAATAGCTTATTATAGTTTCTAATGTACCACAGTTTTCTAATAATTTGTAGCCAGTCACTTCGTCAGAGCTAGCATTGCATTTCTCACATGCTACATTTCTGCTTATGCCTTCAGCCTAATTGTTTTTCCAACCAGAAGCTTATTCCCAAATACCGTTAAGGTGCAGATATTCCCAGAAACACATCCTTCTTTCTGCTGACTCACTCTCTATTTTGTGAGGAATGTTCTGCGTTTGTGACCCACAACAATCAACCAGCAAAAATTTCTTTTCAGAGTGCTGCAAGTCTGACTCACAAGTTTCCACTTAAATGACACTTGCATTTTGAAATAATTCACACTGTGAACATGCATGATCTCCCACACAAACATATTAATGTTCTCCACTGACAATGTTTTAAGCAAGTTATGGTTAACCCTGTGTGGTCTAATGATGGATTTGGTTACATTATAATGGATTGGATTGATATAGCGCTTTTCAAGGCACCCAGGCTTTACAATACCACTATTCATTCACTCTCACATTCACACACTGGTGGAGGCAAAGTACGGTTGTAGCCACAGCTGCCCTGGGGCAGACTGACAGAAGCGAGGCTGCCATATCGCGCCATCGGCCCCTCTGGCCAACACCAGTAGGCAGTAGGGTAAAGTGTCTTGCCCAAGGACACAACGACCAGGACAGAGAGCCCAGGGATCGAACCGGCGACAGATGCGCTTCCCAACCCCCTGAGCCACAGTCGCCCACATTGCTTACAGTTCCTACAGACCCCTTTCTGATTTCTAATTTTTCTGCATATTTTTCACACTTAACGTTTCAGATCATTTAATGATTTAATATTAGTCAAAGATAACCTGACTATAACCAAAAAGAACACAAAAGGAGGTCTCTCATTTGCCAGTAAACATGTTGATGAACTTTTGGGAAAACATTCTGTGGACTGACGAGACAAAAGCTGAACTTTTAACAAGGTTCGAGCCCTGTTACATCTGACATAACACTAACAGGGTATTTCATAAAAAGTATATCATAGTAATAGTCAAACATGGCGGTGGTACTGTTATGGTCTGGCTGTTTTGCCAGTTTAGGACTTGGACAACTTACTGTAATTGATGGAACTATGAATTCTGCTCTCTAACCTATTGGTTGCATTCTACAGTCCTCCAGAAAAATCCAACAGCACAAACAACAGCACAAACAACAGCACAAACAACAGCACAAACAACAGCACAAACAACAGCACAAACAACAGCACAAACAAGAGTGGCACACAGATGAGTTATTTGTGGCACTGACCCTGGTGACATTAAACAGCTGTGCAAAACTGTAGATTGGCAAATATGGACAATACCAACACGCTCTCACTTCCAAAGCATAACATTTTACACTAGGTGACAAATCGTCAGTATATTACGCTTCAGTGCACCCAACATGGTCCTAGATTAGGAGATCGGAAAAATGAGGAAACATGAGAACCGTTTGGATTGAATCTACACATGTATGTTCGTTTTACTTAAATCGCTTTGGAAAACACTATCTAATGTCATTAAAGTCCTGGTCAAGGTTAGGGATAAAGTTATGGATAGGGTTATGGATACGGTTAGGGTCAGGGCTGGAATACATGGCTGGGATGTGCATCACCGTGGTGGCGTCATTCTACTGGATTTCATCCACAACCCGGCGCGTAGCAACACGGGAGGTCACCTTTCACGTTCCTCGGGACGCCTCGGGACTTGACAAAATTGTCACTACCGGTATATTACGCCTCGGGAGTGATAATGGGCTGACGATACGCACCACCGAAAATCACCTTGAGGTCAAACAAGCATAGAGATCAGTTGGTGACTCCCTGACAACGACTGGTGATTAGGTGAAAATATGTATATCCCCACATGTTTGTCAGTGGTTTCTCAAGGTTTCTGGTTCTCCTTGGCTGAAATTGTTTACAAAGTAGGTGCTATATTGAAAAACCTCCAAGTGATTGCCAACATGAAATAGTTTTAATTCATGTTGTTTCCCAGCAGCCAGAGCCTGATCTTTAACAGGTAAAAAAGACAGTTATGAGCAGGTAGGCTTGTAAAAATTCTAGCCTCCATTTCCACCTGGGTTTGAAACTTGCTATGTGTTGTCACTTTGTGTTCAAACTTAAGCACTAAAAGAAAAGATGCCCTTGTTAGTGTAGTGTATGTATCATTTTCCCAGCAACAGCAATTAACTTCCAATAACTACTGTGAACTGGTCAAGGGATACTCCTTTTCCCATGTAGGGAACCAGTGTTTCCCACATTGACACAGCCTGGTCTTAGACAAGTGTCAGCCAAGTCAGACAAGTTAATGTCATTAAACTAAATAAACTGAAGTTCTGGCAAAGATTTAAAGTTGCATATTAGAGGGGCTTTTTTAATGATTGTTGAATACATTCCAAAAGTCAATTTAAGTTTTCTCCACTATGACCCTTGAGTAACATTATCAACCCCCAAAGTCAATATTTAATAATAATTAGGTAATATTTTACTATCTCCTTTGTATGTTAAACCATTTCTTCTGGATTTTTTATTGTTTTATTTTTGTTCCCAATTAACAAATTATTCCTTCCACAGATTTTCACCATGATTCAGTTTGAACGGACTTTATTGCTGCTGATTGACTCAAAAATATATACACTTGGGATTTCTAGTCTAGACACTCCAGTCATTTAAATAATTACGTACTGATGACAGCACATTCTTGAAAATTGTAGGTCAAATAACCCACGTTTGCTGTTGCAGAACTGTTTCACAACAACAGGACTTGCTGCTGACCCATAAGGTTTAATCTGTTTATTGTCTCATGCTGTTTTTCCTGTGATCGAATCTTCTTCTTTAGTATTTTCTCAAACATGGACCGCAACTGCTGTATAATCACCCAAACCATCTGCATTGAAAAATTGGGAATCCTGACTCCAACATTTTGCAATTTGTTAGTTGAGGACAGATGTGCAGCATGTACCTGCAATGCTCTGGCATTATTATGGTGCACACCTTACCTCTTGTGGAAGATGAGCTCCTATACCCAAGAGCATACATTGATTCTGCATGCAGCCAGCCAATAACCCACGTAAGGCTGCAGTCATTTACTAGTATCCAGGACGTGAGGTAACAAGCTCTTCTCTGAAAATCTGCATGTAATTTTATAAGGAAGGGGAATTGCCTAGGGATTTGTGACTTGACCAAGCAAGTCACTGGAATTAACAAAGGATTTCCTCCCATTGCAGATGTTTTACTGCAACTCCTTAGTTACTTGAATTCCAGGAAAGACCTTTGAAGAAAAGAAGGTTACACCATTTCACTTGGTGTGTTACCAATTTTCACACTCAGTGTGACCCGGTGTTTTACTTCATGTTTGACTGAACTTCATTTTCACTTGGTGACAGTGGAGTGGAAGAGCCACCTATTAACAGGAAAGGAGCCAAATAGTGGCTCTGTATTTGTCTATAATACTTTAGCCAAATAGTGCTGCTCCGGTTAAAACCCTGGATGCTGAGTTTGAGTGTGTTTAACTTTTAAGTTACATATATCACATATTTCAGACTAAATCTCAGCACCCACATTCAGTTTTTTTTTTTTTTTTAATGTGGTCAGCCTGATTAAATAATACTTTAAGCTGCTTTCTAAGTCCTCCTGATGCCAAACGGAGCCCATGTGAGAATGTTCAAGATTTATACCAAGTCAGAAGATGGCGTGTATCCCTTCTCACAATGAAGCCTTTGCCAAAGCCAAAGAGAGGATTTCCAGAGGTGAGAATGTTTCTGACACGGTGCTTTGAAGATGTAACATTTTGGCAAACTTGCAGGCGATGAATTTAGCTTATTACAAACACTGGAAAGTCCCAATGATAAACTTAACTGCAACCATCAACCGGTCATAGCAGATGGCTGCCCCTCTCTGAGTCTGGCTCTGCTCCCACTTAAAGGGAGTTCTTCCTCCTCACTGTGACCAACTGCTTACTCATTGGGCTAAATCACTGGGCTTCTTCTTCTGGTATTGTAAGGCCTTTACCTTATAATGTGAAGGTAAAGATCCTACAATTGAGATGACTCTTTTGTGAACTGGTGATGACATCTACATACACAGAATTTATGTTTATCTGCCTGTATATTCAGTCTCATTTGTTGCATGATGAGCTTAACAGCTGTGGACTGTTGCAGTTATCGCCTCTCTATCCTTGACGCATTATAACCTTGTGACACAATCCAGTCTTGCATCCAAAGTTTGAGACTGCTTTAAGTTTGTTCTCCTGGATAAAAGAAAACTATTTTTTTAAAGACAAATTTCTTCTTGCTGGAATCTGATTGTGAGGTTACACCTCTCACATTATACAACATTTTTTCAAACAAGACTAGACATAGAGAAAAGACAGTCAGTCAGTGGTTATTGAAAATTGAAAAGTCTGACAGATATGAATAAATCTGAACAAAAAACTTTAACCTTCACCATCTCAGTTTAAACAGTTAAAAAACATATAAAAGACATAAAGTAGAATTAAATCATTTTTATTTTCAGCTCTCCAGTGATTTTTCTATAGATACACACATTTTTGGATTAGTTTGCAACTGAGTGTGAGGTCACTTGACAGCTATCCTCTGTTTGGACTCCTTGAGGAGAAGAGCAAACTGTCCTACACCTCCCAGCATGGCCGATACACTCGTCCCACCATGCACCTCATGGTGTCCCTCCTGTGGATGGGGATGGTCAGGTCCTGTCCAACATCTTTGTGCTCGACGACCTGGTTGTTTTCGTCGACTCTCCGCTTGTAGAGGGGTAGCCCGTTGTGCACCACCCGCAGGTCCCTCCACAGGTTTGCATCAGCGGCGATGACGATTACCTTCGGAGCTCTGGATTTGGTCATGGAGGACAGCTCTGCATCGCCTAGGCTGTTTTCCGTGGCCTCATCGTTCAGCAGGGAGGTAAAAGCATCCTGCTCCAAGGAGCCGTCTTCAGCCTTGGTCGTGGGTAATGCCACTGTCAGAGCGTAGCACTTGAAAAAGAGCGCTACAGCAAAGATGATGGACAGGCGCGACTGCCTCATGGTGAAGATCTTCCAAAAGGTGTACGGTGTTGGCTCGGGTGGATGAGTGTCTTTCCTGAAGCCTTGCCTCGCCGTCTGGCTTGCAAATCATACCACTGGGCTTTTATACCATTTTGGACACACTGAATTGGCCACGTTGCATAGTTTGCCATCACAACTTCTCCTGTTGGGTTCCGGAAATCAGTCACAAGCATTAAAAGACAGTTGTGTGGAACTCTTGCAGTGTTCGAGTATGTTGTTTTCATTAAAAAATTAATTAAAATCTCCAATGTAGTGGTGTATATTAGACACGTAACAATGAAACAGCAGGAATTCTTTGAACAGGTAACACATAAGAAAAACTAATCCAAAATTACTGCCCTTTAAAACAACAAGGATGGATTACCCACCCGTTAAGCTCCTGTGCTCTCAGATACTTGATGTTCTCTCATGGCATTGTCACAGTGCTGTTCAATAAGAGATTTAACCTTGGATTAGTGCAGATAAGACAACCGAATGATTCTGAAGTGTTTGTGTCTTCATGGCAGCAGCTCTTTGTAGGTGAAAGAAGAAAAAAAGTTAGTTTTTTTGGAGAATATACAACACATCTGCTCCAGAGGCCCAGAGGTGGAAGCTCAACTGCCATGTGATTATAACCCAGCCTAATTATGGTTTCCAGATGGGTGCTGCAGGAAGGCTGTGCACCTGAACCTGCATAAGATGTGAAATTAATTAATGTAATTTATGCTGGTGGCATTTGAGTGAGATCAAACCTGGTGAGAAATTAACAAAGTTTTAATTTGTTGTGTCATCTACAGTTGTACAATTAAGCTAAGGTCCTCAGAGCAAATGCTGTTTATGTATATATTTGGTTTTTCTATCAAAAATTGGTGAAATTCGAGGATTTGTTATGTCGGGACAGCATCGAAAGTCATGTTAACGATATATGATTGCAATTAGAAAATAACTGAAGAACAATAAAGAAAAAAAAATGGAAAAAACTGAATAAAACTAAAAGTTTAAATGACTCCTTGGCTTTAAAATCCAAAGAGCATTTGGTGCGGATCAAATAATCTTGTATTCAGATGGAAATGGGAGATAGATTTTTAAGCTACCAGTTTCCTGGCACTGTACTATAGGTACGATTCTGACTGACATCTAATTACAGGTAGAAAAAGGATGTCTGCTTTTAAATAATCAAAAGATGTCTTCCAGACACAGGACTGGTTAGCGAACTGTTCAACTCTAGCCTTTACCAGAACACATTTGATATTTTACTGACATCAGTTGGCTAGACACATACTTTCATGTCTTTTTTTTAAAAGTACGCTTATTTTAGTATTGGTAATGGGCAGCGGGGCGATTCAGATGGGAAGTGCTGTGAGCCATTTCTTACTGAAAACCATGCCTGTGGTTTTGAAAAAGTCTGACATCTGAGAATTATCTACACCCTGTTTTTATTGCCATGTGAATGGCCTTAGAGGTTTACTGGAGACAGACAGTTTACCTTATCTTACATTCCTAGATGACTGATATTCATATATTTAACTGATGGGTGGAGCTCTTCCTATGCCGTTGGCTTTAACGGTACAAATGGGCCTATCACTATTTTTAAATGAAAACCACATGGATCTGTAAGACAGAGGTGTTTTAGGAATACAGAACATAATAGCTGTGTTATCCCTAAAGATAATACTTTTCTGCTAACACTTCAAATCCACAAGGTCAACCTGTCAGTAAGAGGAGTATTTAATAATAAAAGTCGTATAATCTCACCTTTAACATACTCAGAATAGTTTCCAATTTATGCATGCTCACCTTAACTGCAGACACATTGTGGATTTATCATGTAGTAGCTAAAGAAGTGTTAGAAAACACTTATCTAACTCATCTTCTGGAAAAACAGTGTATTGTATGTATGTATAACAAAGATTTTTGGTGTTTGAGGAATATAGTGCCCTGATCCTGGGGTTCTCATGTTGAGTTTTGGATTTGTGTTTATTATTTTTGAGCCTTTTATTCCTGTTTTACATGATCATTCTTTTGTTTTGGTTTTATCATTACAGTTCCCCCCAGTGTCTCCCTGTCTGTGTCGTCCCTGCATGCTCATTCTCTCTCTGTTATTACGTTTAAAGTCATGCCTTTTGTGTTATTTATCTTTTATTTTTTATTATTTTTTGAGTCTCATTTCCAAATCAATTCCCACCTCATTAGATAAACCTTAGTAACAAGTTGGACCCCTTTTGCCTTAAGAACTGTCTTAATTCTTCATGACATAATTCAGCAAGGTGCTGGACATATTCCTCAAAGATTTTGGTCCATATTGACATGATACCATCACACAGTTGCCACAGATTTGTTTCCAGCTGATCCATGATGTGAATTTCCCACTCCAGCACGTCCAAAAGATTTATTGCATAGAGATTTGGTGACTGGCTCACATTTCCATTAAAAACTGTTGAACAGGTGTATCTGATAAAGTGTATGGATTCCTTTCTTCTGTTAGCGCTTTATTGGTGCGACTGGTAATGTTCCCTGTTGTGCAATCCTGTTTTTTCATTTTTTATTGTTGTTTTAATTTATTCCCTGGCTCTTATGTTCCTGGACCTCTGTTTTTTTTCACCTTCTGGCCTTTAATGTTTGCTATTTTGTATCAGCCACAGTAAAAACACTCTTTTTTCTTCTGGCATCCAGCATTTGTGTCCTCTCAATGCCACTAAGATGCCCCAGTGGTATATTCTTTCAAGCCAAGACAAGTAGCACTACTTGGTTAAGTTCAAGGAAAGATTGTGGCCAAGGCAAACAAATGTTGCTCGTGTTACTGTTTAGGCAGTTATCCATTTAATTACCGTACAGTGGGTAGCCAAAAAGAACCAAAAAAATCGTAAAAAAATAATTTAAGATGATCAAATTTGAGGTTTTATAAGCAATTAAATCTCTGCAACTGCTAAGTTGGAGAAAGGAAACACTAGCTGCTGGATGGAGATATAACGTTAATCCTGCTCCCTTGTGTTCACATTACACAACCAAATATTCTCACCATCATTTGCTCAGATGGTTTGCCTGCACTGACTATAATGCACATTTAGTCAGAGTGACTGCATGCATACACGTAAAGTGAACGAGAAAGGACACAGGTTTGCTCTGGGCCATGTGAACTGACGCATCATAAATTTGGAAATATAAAAGCAGGGCCTGGAATAAATAACAAAAGCTCTGCATGTGTGTATGTGTGTGTGTGTGTGTGTTTTGAGTCATGAATTTTGCTTTAGGTCAGACATTCCCAGGATAACACTGTACCTCCTCTCTCCAGTAAACAACTGTAGATTACACTGGATCATGTGAATGTTGCATCATGTCACACTAACCACCCAAACCACACATCTGCCTGGATAACAGTAATAATACTTGCTGATCGCTAGCAACATGTCATCAAACGAGCACCTACTTTTTTTTCTTCTTTTAGCTAATATGTTCCAACTGAAATTACTTAAAAATAGAACGGTTTTGCTTAACACGAAAGTACTTCAATAAATGCCAGTTTTGTGGCTTTTTCAGGCAACTCCGATTTCATGAAAACCTGCACGGACTGCATTTGGCATTTGTGTGGTTAATTATCATCAGCTGAGTGGCTCCAGTTCAGCGGTGAGAGGCATTTTTCCTCAGAAGGCGAGATTGACTATTATACAGAGAGCAAAGCGCTACACACTGAAAAACCAAATAGAAACACACAAAGTTGAAATAGAACATGGATCACTTTTAAGTCGGGAACTTTGCATCTGTCAGTCTGCTGTGCAATCAACCTAAATGGTTAACACATTTATATAATTCATGACTGCAGCAGTGAACATGACCGGAAGTCATGAACATAAATTAAATCAGGTTCTGCTCTGCGTACCTGAGCTGGACACCCCTGAATCACTTTAGCCTAATATTTATTTACTGACACATGCTCATTAAGTATATTGTGATTTTTTTTTTTCCTGGGATCAGTTTACGATCAGCCCAGTTCCAACACTTTTATTCTGAAAGCTAACCAGTTAGCAGAGCCTCCCTGCCTCATCTTTCCCCATCAGGAGGCTCATCGGGTTGCTGTTGTTGGACTCATCCATGAGTTTGACAGACTAGCGGGATTTATGTTCCAGCAGATGTGTCCGTCCGTGTGCACATTTCCATTTGGATGGAGAAGGATTTTTGCCCACCACAAACATGTTCCCATGCAGTAGTCCAAAATCCCAACTGGGAATGTTGGAAGAAAACAAAAAACAAAGCAGGGCCCAGGTTGCACAGCATACAAAACACCAGGACAGGGCCACAGTGTCATGAACCGAGGTTTTCACACGAGCTGGACCCAAAAGAAGACTCAATTAACTTACTGAGAACTATTGACAAAACTTTATTTACAGAATGAAGGAGATCAAAACGAAGGCAAAAAAGAGTCAGTGGAAATGGGGACGGCCACGGGGAAGGCTGTCCGCTGAGGTCACGATTCGAACCGCAGGTGTGCTGCAACAGAGGGAAAAGCGATTACTGGCAGGTAAGGGAGCAGATGACCAGAGTGAATATTATGGAGGTGCTGTTGGCTTACGTGCAGGTCCAGACTGAAGAGCTTTGGGGAGGGTTTCTGTGGGAGAATCCAGAGAGAGGAAATCTGCAGTGCAAGAGGGGAAGAATGGCTTACCAAGAGCGTCGGAGCAGGCAGGACTACAAGCAGGTGAAGCAACAGGATGATGGTTTTCCTAGTAGGAGCAGATCACAGAGGTATAACAAAGGAGCCAGCGCTGGAGAGAGAGAGAGTTATCACAGGCGATGCGTCTATGACGGGATAGTGTGGAGATCTGTACACAAGGAAACAGAGTTAAGCACGAAAAGTGGGAGCGATAAGAGTGGCGTGCAGATGTGGCCCAGCTACCACTGTGGGTGGCAGAATGAACTGGGGACGAGTAGCAGGCAGTGCTGGCTTAAGTAGTCCTCCTGTAATTGACAGCAGATGGAGCTCAGGTGTGATGCAGAGACTCCGCCCGGGCCAGTAGCCAGGGACCCATCCTGACAAATGAAAACCCCTCAGCTGCTCCCACGGATCATGACACACAAGGTAATT